ATTTTGATTTGGTAGGTTATTGTGTTTTTAGATGCGTTTTATTAGTTCCGTTTTTATTAAGAATACGCCTAAGGCCTTGAAGTTTACTAGTTTATTTTGTGGGTTTAGTATTGCTTCTAGAGTTGGAGCCTTGTTTAGATTGAGGGTGGTTTGTAATGCGGTTCGATGTGTTAGGTAGTGTGTGCAGTGGATGAGTGCGTGTTCTGGGGTTTCTGGTTGTTTGCAGTGTGGGCAGTTACCTGTAGTGTGTTTTTTTAAAAATTTTTAGGTGGTTATTTAGGTTGGTGTGTCCTGTTTGGAGTTTAGTGATTACTCTGTCCTTTTTTGGATGGATGGAGAATTTTTGGTTTGGTAAGTGGTTTGCTAAGCACTTTTTTGATTTGGCTATTTGAGTTTAGATATAGGTTATGCCATTTTTTGGTGATTTTTTGCTCACCAAAAAATGGCATAACCTATATCTAAGTGACTTGTGTGATACTCAATATATAGCATCTAAGTGAGTTGTGTGATACTAAATATCTAGCATCTACGTGAGATGTTTGATAGTGCAGGAGTTAAGTGAGATGTGTGATAGTGCGAGAATTAAGTGAGCTGAGTGATACTAAATATGCAGCAGCTCTGTGAGTTGTGTTATACTCAATATGCAGCAGCTCCGTGAGTTGTGTTATATTTAATATGCAGCATCTACGTGAGTTGTGTTATACTCAATATGTAGCATGTACGTCAGCTGTCATAGTGCGAGAGTTAAGTGAGCTGAGTGATACTAAATATCCAGCAGCTAGGTGAGTTGTGTAGTACTCAATATGCAGCATCTACGTGAGTTGTGTTATACTCAATATGCAGCATCTACGTGAGTTGTGTTATACTCAATATGCAGCATCTACGTGAGTTGTGTTATACTAAATATGCAGCATCTACGTGAGTTGTGTTATACTTAATATGCAGCATCGACGTGAGTTGTTATACTAAATATGCAACATCTACGTGAGTTGTGTTATACTCAATATGCAGCATCTACGTGAGCTGTGTCATAGTGCGAGAATTAAGTGAGCTGAGTGATACTCAATATCCAGCAGCTACGTGAGTTGTGTGATAGTGCAGGAGTTAAGTGAGATGTGTGCTAGTGCGAGAATTAAGTGAGCTGAATGATATAGCATCTACGTGGGCTGTGTGATACTAAATATCAAGCATATACGTGAGTTGTGTGATACTAAATATCAAGCATCTACGTCAACCGTGTCATAGTGCAGGAGTTCAATGAGTTGAGTGATACTCAATATCCAGCAGCTACGTGAGTTGTGTGATAGTGCAGGAGTTAAGTGAGATGTGTGATAGTGCGAGAATTAAGTGAGCTGAATGATATAGCATCTACGTGAGTTGTGTGATACTAAATATCAAGCATATACGTGAGTTGTGTGATGGTGCAGGACTTAAGTGTGATGTGTGAAAGTTATGTGAGCTGAGTGATACTAAATATGCAGCAGCTCCGTGAGTTGTGAGATACTCACCATGTAGCATATACTTAAGTTGTGCTATACCCAATATGTAGCATCTACGTGAGTTGTGTCATAGTGCTGGAGTGAAGTGAGCTGTGATATACTAAATATGCAGCATCTACGTGAGTTGTGTGATGCTAAATATATAGCATGTACGTTAGCTGTGTCACAGTGCAGGAGTGAAGTGAGTTGTGTGATACTCAATATATAGCATCTACGTCGGCTGTGTCCTAGAGCAAGAGTCAAGTGAGTTGTGTGATACTCAATATATAGCATATACGTCAGCTGCGTCATAGTGCAAGAGTCAAGTGAGTTGTGTGATACTCAATATATAGCATCTAAGTGAGTTGTGTGATACTAAATATCTAGCATCTACTTGAGATGTTTGATAGTGCAGGAGTTAAGTGAGATGTGTGATAGTGCGAAAGTTATGTGAGCTGAATGATACGAAATATGCAGCAGCTCCGTGAGTTGTGAGATACTCAATATGAAGCATCTACTTGAGTTGTGCTATACCCAATATGTAGCATCTACGTGAGTTGTGTCATAGTGCAGGAGTGAAGTGAGCTGTGTAATACTAAATATGCAGCATCTACGTGAGTTGTGTGATGCTAAATATATAACATGTACGTCAGCTGTGTCATAGTGCAGGAGTGAAGTGAGTTGTGTGATACTCAATATATAGCATCTACGTCAGCTGTGTCCTAGTGCAAGAGTCAAGTGAGTTGTGTGATACTCAATATATAGCATCTACGTCAGCTGCGTCATAGTGCAAGAGTCAAGTGAGTTGTGTGATACTCAATATATAGCATCTAAGTGAGTTGTGTGATACTAAATATCTAGCATCTACGTGAGATGTTTGATAGTGCATGAGTTAAGTGAGATGTGTGATAGTGCGAGAATTAAGTGAGCTGAATGATATAGCATCTACGTGAGTTGTGTGATACTAACTATCAAGCATCTACTTGAGATGTTTGATAGTGCAGGAGTTAAGTGAGATGTGTGATAGTGCGAGAATTAAGTGAGCTGAATGATATAGCATCTACGTGAGTTGTGTGATACTAAATATCAAGCATATACGTGAGTTGTGTGATGGTGCAGGACTTAAGTGTGATGTGTCATAGTGCGAAAGTTATGTGAGCTGAATGATACTAAATATGCAGCAGCTCCGTGAGTTGTGAGATACTCAATATGTAGCATCTACTTGAGTTGTGCTATACCCAATATGTAGCATCTACGTGAGTTGTGTCATAGTGCAGGAGTGAAGTGAGCTGTGTAATACTAAATATGCAGCATATACGTGAGTTGTGTGATGCTAAATATATAGCATGTACGTCAGCTGTGTCATATTGCAGGAGTGAAGTGAGTTGCTTGATACTCAATACTTAGCATCTGCGTGAGGTGCTTGATAGTCGTCTAACAGAGTAAGGTACAATCAAATATTAAAGTCTCTCATTTGAGAAAAGTGAAAATGTGAGAAACAAATAACTTCCTCCGAAATTGCAGCGAATAATGAGTTAATGATACTACGTTTTGTTTACCCAGGGAGACCAACGCTGAAGTCCTACTGGATTGGTAACAACCTCCCAACTCAGGCAAGCGAGTGGTTCAGTGATGTCACTGGTCAAGGCCAAGCCTCAGGAAGTGGATCAGGGGGCGGTGTTTCTCCAGAGGCGTGTTTGTTGCTGAGGCCGCGAGCCAACTACTCTGTGTATTCTGTTGACTGCTCAGAGAAACACTCTGTTCTTTGTTTTTACTCGCCCAATTACTCGTCGAATTACTACATATATCTTGGTTAAAGATACAGTTGCGTTTCCACACCAAATAAGGCTGGAACAATTAGCTTTTTAAAAAATACCAGACCATTGACGTTTATTTAAACACGTATGTATCTGGACACAATTATCATAGCAGAGCACATGTAATTCGGGCCTGAATTAAAATTGTGTGGGTGTCAATGCATGCTTATGCTTTTGTACGTGTATGGCAAATGATTGCCCCCCTTATGCTTCACCCAACATGGGTACAATGTGTGAAGCCCATTTATTGTGTCCCCGGCCGTGAAAGTGCTAGAATATTGCTAAATGCGGCGTTAAATCAACACACACACACACCAACACCACCACCACCACACACACACACACACACACACACTTGTAAACATCTGCTCGTGACACAGTAAGAATCGTACAATCGACTCGATATTTCATGTGGCTGTGGAAAGAGTTTTGTCTCTTGTTGCGTATGGACGTTCAATATATGACTGGTCAAAAAAAATGTTTTTGTCCAAAACATTTATAACAATTTAAAGACCCTCTTTTTCTCTTTTTCTAATTGAATTCAGGCGAAAATAAACGGCATGTCACATGACTGAATATCAGTTATTAATATCACAGTACATTGATGTGCGCAACAGTAAACAGCGTATTGATCGGTAACAGTTCTTCTGACAATTTCCATGAGTGTGACTTTCCGTAAGTTAAAATCGTCCATACCCTGCTTTACAAATTTCCATGAACAATACTCTCTCGTCGATACGGTGCGCTCTTTCCGTTTGTAGTCCTATCATCCATTAGCAAGTTTGCAAAGCGTTTGACTCACGTTCCATTTGTTTGTTTGTTTTGTTTTTTGTTTGCTATGGTGACGGCCTTATTGACAGTTCCCTTGAGTGTAAATTTCCCAGATCTGTGACTTCCAGTAACATCTGTAGCATTGTCTTCAGCTTCCACACTTGTAAATAGCGTCTTAATCTTACCACTGATGGATTCTTATTAAGTAAATGAATGATGCGATATGAATGTATTAACAAATATAAATTATTAATTTTAATAAAATGCTGTACTTCGGTCCAATATGGTACAAGAAAAAACGCTTTATACAGAAATCGTGATTGTACCCGAGAATACACACATTGTACACTTTTTTATGGAAAATATTTCAACATTAGCCTATTGATGTTAACAACAAAAAGACTACCCCATACATGTTGAATTAGCGTTGACTGGTGGATCTGAAGAAGAGGTAGCGGATACTTGTCAACCTGTGTTAGTCCCTGGACTGTCTCATAGAGAGAATTACACATATATTACATGCTACATACAAATTATCCCATGTGAAGACTACAAACCACCTTCTATCAAATTCGACCAAGAAAGTAAACGCAGTTGCTGCTTTTGGTCACATTTGGTTTCCATTCCACAAAGAAATCGATAAATAGTTGCTACGACTGTCTGTACCCCCATCCATTAACATTTACAAGAGTCGAAGCGGTAAGATTGAGCGCTAGTGTTGGGCCCATCGATTCAACAGGGCAAACAAACATAATGCAGCTTAACCTTCAGACATGTCATTTCCAATATGTACTGAATGCTTATGGTTTAATGTTTAATTTTAATCATACAACGAGCAACAAAGGCTTTGCAAATGTAGTCATGACAGATTTTCAACAATAACCATGCAAAGATTAAACGGAAACTTTGGAGACTAAAACTGTTATTTATTTTTACTCAAGTAATATCAATATGCTTTTGATGCACAGTGAGTGATACACATATGCGAATACAAGCTTTTTAAGAGTGTTGCAAAACTTTAGTGATCAGATGTTCTGTTTGTTAGACGGTAGCATCTCAACACCGAGTAGCGGGGGAAATGGCCGAACGATGACGAAAGAGAAGATGGACTCCAACATCTCGAATCTGTGAAGTCACTATTAATTGAACAATCCAATGTTGGGCTTACATAAACCATTAGCAGCTACATGCACAAGTAACAAGTGTTATCTCGTAGTGCCGGTTTTTGGCAGAGATATTGTATGTCCGCCATGCAAGTGTAGTCGACAAAACAAGCCAGACCTGTAGACACGTAGAGGCTGAGGCAGTTCTCCTCCCCATTGAGGTCGCTCGGATCTCCCATACACCACTGACTTATCGAGGCACCATCGTTCCATCTCCAGATACCTTCCTCTTCAATGTCAGTTGAGCCAACCCTGAAAAATCCTGTTGGCGACTGGCCTGAAATAGTAATATGATCCCAAACATAATTTAATACTACAGCCATGTACACATATACTATTACTAAAATTCACCATTACTCAATAAGAAACCTTATTTTCCAACCTGGCAAACTATTTATATCCTGGTTTTCTTAATTTTCGGTCCGGGTAGTATTTTCCAAATGAATACAATGTCAAGAAGCTAACAGAAGTTATCTGGACTTCGCATTTGTTCTTAATTTGTCGTTGTCTACGTAATATTGTATGCATTGGTATGAGTGAGAGAATGCTGTCACGCTACGCTCCAGCCATATGCTTGTTTGTTGTTTAACGCCGCACTCAGGAAAATTCCAGCTATATAGAGGAAGTCATGTCTGGGCAAAGCATTCCAATGGTTGAAAGCATAAGCAACGATCAATCCCATCGGAGCACGATGACTGTTTCCATGTCACACGCTGTAACCATCATTTGGTTTGTGTGACAAGCATGGAGCACAAGGGACATATTGTGCCAAGTGATTACACAGGAGTCGTCGGTAGGTAATACATTAATTCTTTTACGTCGATTGTTTAGGAGCCACCTCCGTTGTGTAGTTGCAGGACGATCCCCTGGCTGCATCATGCCAAAAGACGTTAAAATATAATTGTATGTATACTTGTCACCCTGTTTGTCACTCGGCATTAAAGGGATATTCCGAATTAATTGAACCTTCAAAAATACAAGCAGGTAACAAAATTGTATGTCATTACTTTCAAAACACCCTGAGACATTTGCCGAGTTCTTTGTAATTGTGCTTTAATTGCTATAGATTTGGAAACAAAGGCGCAACTCTACTGTGAAAAATAGTAGTCCATGTGATACCATAGATCACACTGATATGCAACATTGTTACACATATACAAATGGTTGATTCAATCCATCTCACTGGTATGTTAATTTTTGCAAATGTTTTCGTAATTACGGTGATGTTTGATTAATAAACTATGGTCGACTGTGTCGATCTTGCAGCTGTCTTAATTATGTTTAGGACTGACGTTTAAGCTCAGCAATTTGGTGGTGATAGTGTTTTCAAATTAGTCTATTAGTCAAATTAGTCAATAAGACATGTACCTACCATTATTAAACATGTGTCTGACGATTTCGTGAAACATCCTGCCAGGCGTCATCTGAGCAAGCACTGCTCCTTCTTTAGCGCATGCGTCTGAGGCTAAGGTGTAATTACTGGCTTCACTGGACAGTTTCACACACGTCCCATCGATGAAGGTGTAGTCAGGTGGGCACCTCGCTGCAGGTTGGAACAACACACCGAAATATAGGTGAAATCAAATTTCCACATGATAATGTAATAATATCCCTTTACTAGTATCATCGATTTACAACGAGTGAGAGAATGTGCCACAGTGGTATGTTGACACACCATAGATATTCGTGTCTAGACCAGACAAAACAGTGGTTGACATTACAAACAATGTACCTAGATATATAAAAGTCAAAGCAGAGAATATCAGTCTCGAATATGTGCAGAAACTGATTCCATTGGACGTGAAAGGGAAACTAGCGTTATTACGGACTGCGATTCTGAAAGTGAATTGCTGGACCACTGAGTCACCATTGAAAAATGGATTAACACGCATATACTCACTGATCAATGTATATGATTCCATTCCCTCATCCCTGAGAGACTCTGCTTGGGGACCGACAGTGTCAGACATCATGTGACACGTTTCAGTCGCCTCATTGAAGGAAACGGAACTGCACTCAGACTCTCCAGCACATGTTTCAGCACACTGGATGAGGCTCGTAGAAGGGAGTGTTTTGTACGAGGCTGTAGCGTTGCGTTTGATTGAGTCTTGTTTAAACTTAAAGACCTTACAGTTGACTGCATAAACAAAATCCCACTGTGCAATTAACATGCACGCTATGAGGGGATAATATAACGACTGCATTTTGGTGTATTGCCAATAACGCACAACTGAAGCTCCTGTTCTTGGTTATCACCATCCGATAATAGTTGGAATTGATAAGCTAACGTCACCCCTGAACGTGTCAAGTGCTTAATAAATAAGGGACGATTTGCGATAATGTACATTCGACTCATAATCAATCAACCATAATTATTCTTATGATATGAATTCTTCTTACTCTCAATCACTGCACAATGGTAGTGTCAAACGCGCATGTTGACGGGGTATCAGCTCTTGGGGGTAGAAAATCGACATCACTGTCCGGAACGTTTTGTGCACAACATAAACAATAAACAACAAATGCACAATGAGCGAAATACCTGCTCTGACAACACAAACAGGGGCGATGAGTGGATGAGCGGACTACCATTCTATTGTTTACAACTACTGTAATAGCTGTGCAGTATTTTGTATTAATTTGTAAACTGAGGGACTTTGTAATACATTTGTTGATTTTTTACAACCAGTTCTTTTACGTTCAGATTTCGGGGTTATAAATTTGGAAATTGACATGATCAGATATTGGAGGCTTGTCCGGGATAGAAATCAAATATATCACAAATTATTTGTCAAAATTATTGGATAAACATTTTAGTGTCTAATATTGTGTGAAGCCAACAATCACCATGGCTTTGAGTGTAGAGGAATTTGCTAGCCAGCCTTCAACGGTCTCGATGCTCTGAACTGGTCGAATTGGCCACATAATACAAACTTGACATCAAATCAGGTATGCTCTAGGCTTATGTCAAGAATTTTATAAGAAATTATAATTTGAAAGAGAAAAATTGACTTTCGAAATCTGGCTTAAAGAAATTAAGGCAGAGTAGAAAAAGTAGAAAGAAATTTTCAGCTTTAAATAAATGAAGCTGAGACCAAAAAAAGAGGGAAAAATTGAGATTGGAAGCTGATAAAGAAATTAGGCTAAAGCAACTTGAATTACGGAATGATCTCCCTCACAGTACCTCCACAGTCGATAAATTGTTTTATAATTTCCAAGCAGATTAGACTAGTTTCCTCATTATGTAAACGTGAGGTTGAGATGTTTTTCCTACATTCATTTTTTAAAAGGTAGCTTACAGTTTGAAATGGCGACTAGATCAGAGGACCATGTTGTTGCAAAGTGTGTTTAGGGGAATAGCTCAGGAAGTTTATTCTGGCTTACCTATTGATAGGAGTTCTGATTATCAGGTTGTTAAGGCTGAGGTTTTGAGGGCACTGAATTGGAAAAGTTTAAATCTGATAACAAACGGAATAATTCTTCTTTTGTAGAGTTTCCAATGGAGAAGGAATCTCTGTTTGATAGGTGGTGTACTTCAAAGGAGGGCAATGGCGATTTGGATAGTTTGAGGCAGTTGGTTTTGCTGAATGATTTTGAAATATCTTGATGAGCAGAAAGTGTATCAGTTACACAAGTTCAGTTCTTCTGAGAATAATTCCAGTTATAATTTGGCTGGCACTTTTATGGATCATTCTCTTGACCTGTCTAAATTTTAGAGGGAGAGTACGAAACATTCTTACAGTTTGGCTGTTGATAATGAGGAACCAGTTCTGGGTAGGGAGTGTGGCGATATGACAAAGATGTCTTCGTTCTTTGACTGTGTTTAAACACTGTAAATGCAGCTGTGTGGAAGAGTGTGCATGATCCCATGTGCTTGCAGCCAGCAGCATGTGACAGTTATCTCCCCTATCCTGGCTGAGGCCCATTTAAGGATGGGTCCCAATAAGGGTTTAGCTAATACCACAGGGGGAGTTAGTTAAATTTCAGGGGTAAGACCAAGAACTCAAAGTTGTTGCCAACAGGGCATTCTCTTCAGAAGTAGCTGACATGGTTCCAGTTAGCTATTATTTCAAGGATAGAAATTTAATGTGGAAATGGTTGGTTGATGGTTGGTTTGTTGTTTAACGCCGCACTCAGCAATATTCCAGCTATATGACGGCAGTCTGTAAATAATCGAGTCTGGACCAGACAATCCGGTGATTAATATCATGAGCATCGATCCGCGCAATTGGGATCGATGGCATGCATCAACCAAGTCAGCGAGCCTGACCACCCGATCCCGTTAGTCGCCTTTTTCGACAAGCATAGTCACCCTTTACGGCAAGCATGGGTTGCTGAAGACCTATTCTATCCCGGAATCTTCACGGGTCAATGTGGAAATGGGGGCCGTCAGATGTACCTGCTGATGACGAATGGAAGGTAGGTCATTTGGTTTCCAATTGTTCTTCCAAACTCACATATTCATATCAAAAACATGTTTTGAGTTTGACACATGAAATTGGTCATTTGGGTTGTGAACAAAAGCTTGTGACAAAATTTTGTACTATTTCTATTGGCCTAGTTTGGGGCATGATGTTGCTGAATTTTGCAAAAAATGCCATGTGAGTCAAATGATTGGCAAACCTAATCAGAAAATCTTTGAAACCCATTCAGGAAATCACCACATGCTTACTGTCATGTGTCCTTCCAGCCGGTTTTCAGAGGCTATTCGTTTACGGATGATTACAGCTCAAATTATGATCGTGCTTTTTGGTAAATTTAAGTCCCGGTGATAGGGTCTTAATGGTCAACCATTACGTGCTAGGTACCGGTCCGTATGTTATTGACAGAAAAGTCAGTTGTACTGACGATGTTGTATGAACACCAAGCTGTCGTAAAAGAACCAAATGCCACTGCACCTCTGCATGCAGTTATCATATACACAGCGGAACAAGCCAATTAAACTCGGAATGTTTTCAAATGGGAGCGCCATCTCGCGTTCTTTATTGTCTTTGGTTTTGGTTTGTTGTTTAACGCCGCACTCAGCAATATTCCAACTATATGACGGCTGTCTGCAAAAAAATCGAGACAGGACCAGACAATCCAGTGATGATATCATGAGCATCAATTCACGCAATTTGGATCGATGACCAGCATCAAGCAAGTCAGCAAGCCTGACCACCCGATCCCGTTAGTTGCCTCTTACGACAAGCATAGTCGCCTTTTATGGCAAGCATTGGTTGCTGAAGATCTATCCTACCCCGGATCTTCACGGGTCCATTTGAATCATGACTTATGTAGGGTTGGAATGTAAACCACCTTCCGTCCTGGCAATGTGGTTCACTCAGCGTGAACTGTGTTCACTATTTTCTTTCATGTATATATGCACATGAACAGTTGCAAGTTATGTTCACTTCCTTATTGAATATTGTTGTGAAATGTTTCACAGATCCAACGGGGTAGATAAACAGAATTCAGCTTGTCTTTTGACTTGTCATTTGAAACTTGAGTTGAATGATTATGGTTTATGTTTCATTCTAATGATACAACCAGCAACAGTCGCTTTGCAAATATACGCATCACACAGTTTCACTGTTAACCAAGACCGGATTAAACAAACACTTTGGAGGCTGTAACTGCATTTATTTTGACTGTAGTAAGTTCAATATGCCTTTGAAAGTGATAACAATGTTAACAGGTTTTTGTAAAAACTTCAATGAACCGGTTTTCTGTTTGTCAGACGGTAGCACCAGTCGTGTCATTACAGGACAAGTTGAGTGGCTACGGAAATGGCCGAGTGAGGACGAATAAGAAGTTGGACTTTTCTCGCATGGTTATATAAAAATATGTGAAGTCACTATTGTTTGAACCATTGGTAAGCTTACAGAAACCATTAGCGGTTACATACCATGTTTGCTGCTGTCATTTTAGTCTGATTTAACAAGTGTTAACACCTAATGCCGGTTTTTGGCAGAGATAGTTTATGTCCGTGTTGCAAGTGTAGTCGACAAAACAAGTCAGACCTGAATCAGACACGTAGAGGCTGAGGCAATCCTCCCTATTGAGGCCGTTGGGATCTTCCCAGCACCACGGACTTATCGAGGCACCATCGATCCATCTCCAGGTACCTTCCTCCTCAATGTCATTGGATCCAACCCAGAAAAGTCCTGTCGGTGACTTGCCTGAAATATTAATATGCATCCAAACATACATAAACTTACTGTCATGTCATGTGTCATATGATTTATGTACAATTACTAAAACTATTTGTTATACATTATTCATAAAGAAGTCCATTTTTCCATATGGCAATCAATTCCTTTTTTGCGGCGTGAGGAATTTTCTTATAGAATGTCACGTATTGTTAAAAAAGCTTAGAGGTCATCAAGATTTCGTATTTATTCTTATTTTTGTGTTGTCCAATATAGTGTTCATTGGTATGAGTCAGTGAATGTTGTCACTCCATGGCCACACTCAGTGATATACCCTCTATATTATGGTGACCTGTACTGAAAGATAGTAGTCCATGTGATACCATAGATCACACTGATATGCAACATTGTTACACATATACAAATGGTTGATTCAATCCATCTCACTGGTATGTTAATTTTTGCAAATGTTTTCGTAATTACGGTGATGTTTGATTAATAAACTATGGTCGACTGTGTCGATCTTGCAGCTGTCTTAATTATGATCAGGACTGACGTTTAAGCTCAGCAATTTGGTGGTGATAGTGTTTTCAAATTAGTCTATTAGTCAAATTAGACATGTACCTACCATTATTAAACATGTGTCTGACGATTTCGTGAAACATCCTGTCAGGCGTCATCTGAGCCAGCACTGCTCCTTCTTAAGCGCATGCGTCTGAGGCTAAGGTGTAATTACTGGCTGCACTGGACAGTTTCACACACGTCCAGTCGATGAAGGTGTAGTCAGGTGGGCACCTCGCTGCAGGTTGGAACAACACACCGAAATATAGGTGAAATCAAATTTCCATATGATAATGTAATGATATCCCTTTACTAGTATCATCGATTTACAACGAGTAAGAGAATGTGCCACAGTGGTATGTTGACACACTATAGATATTCGTGTCTAGACCAGACAAAACAGTGGTTGACATAACAAACAATGTACCTAGATATATAAAGGTAGACGCAGAGAATATCAGTCTCGAATATGTGCCGAAACGGATTCAATTGGACGTGAAAGGGAAACTAG